CTCACACGCAGAGACATACATAGGCTCAAAATAAAGGGATGGAGGAAGATTTACCAAGCAAATGGAGAACAAAAAAAAGCGGGGGTTGCAATCCTAGTCTCTGATAAAACAGACTTTAACCATCAAAGATCAAAAGAGACAAAGAAGGCCATTACATAATGGTAAAGGGATCAATTCAACAGGAAGAGCTAACTATCCTAAATATATATGCACCCAATACAGGAGCACCCAGATTCATAAAGCAAGTCCTTAGAGACTTACAAAGAGACTTAGACTCCCATACAATAATAATGGGAGACTTCAACACTCCACTGTCAACATTAGACAGATCAACAAGACAGAAAGTTAACAAGGATATCCAGGAATTGAACTCATCTCTGCAGCAAGCAGACCTAATAGACATCTATAGAACTCTCCACCCCAAATCAACAGAATATACATTCTTCTCAGCACCACATCGTACTTACTCCAAAATCGACCACGTAATTGGAAGTAAAGCACTCCTCAGCAAATGTACAAGAACAGAAATTAGAACAAACTGTCTCTCAGACCACAGTGCAATCAAACTAGAACTCAGGACTAAGAAACTCAATCAAAACCGCTCAACTACATGGAAACTGAACAACCTGCTCCTGAATGACTACTGGGTACATAACGAAATGAAGGCAGAAATAAAGATGTTCTTTGAAACCAATGAGAACAAAGATACAACATACCAGAATCTCTGGGACACATTTAAAGCAGTGTGTAGAGGGAAATTTATAGCACTAAATCCCACAAGAGAAAGCAGGAAAGATCTAAAATTGACACTCTAACATCACAATTAAAAGAACTAGAGAAGCAAGAGCAAACACATTCGAAAGCTAGCAGAAGGCTAGAAATAACTAAGATCAGAGCAGAACTGAAGGAGATAGAGACACAAAAAACTCTCCAAAAAATCAATGAATCCAGGAGTTGGTTTTTTGAAAAGATCAACAAAATTGACAGACCACTAGCAAGACTAATAAAGAAGAAAAGAGAGAAGAATCAATCACGCAATTAAAAATGAAAAGGGGATATCACCACCGACCCCACAGAAATACAAACTACCATCAGAGAATACTATAAACACCTCTACGCAAATAAACTGGAAAATCTAGAAGAAATGGATAATTTCCTGGACACTTACACTCTTCCAAGACTAAACCAGGAAGAAGTTGAATCCCTGAATAGAACAATAGCAGGCTCTGAAATTGAGGCAATAATTAATAGCCTACCAACCAAAAAAAGTCCAGGACCAGATGGATTCACAACTGAATTCTACCAGAGGTATAAGGAGGAGTTGGTACCATTCCTTCTGAAACTATTCCAATCAATAGAAAAAGAGGGAATCCTCCCTAACTCATTTTATGAGGCCAACATCATCGTGATACCAAAGCCTGGCAGAGACACAACAAAAAAAGAGAATTTTAGACCAATATCCCTGATGAACATCGATGCAAAAATCCTCAATAAAATACTGGCAAACCGGATTCAGCAACACATCAAAAAGCTTATCCACCATGATCAAGTGGGCTTCATCCCTGGGATGCAAGGCTGGTTCAACATTCGCAAATCAATAAACATAATCCAGCATATAAACAGAACCAAAGACAAGAACCACATGATTATCTCAATAGATGCAGAAAAGGCTTTTGACAAAATTCAACAGCCCTTCATGCTAAAAACGCTCAATAAATTCGGTATTGATGGAACGTACCTCAAAATAATAAGAGCTATTTATGACAAACCCACAGCCAATATCATACTGAATGGGCAAAAACTGGAAAAATTCCCTTTGAAAACTGGCACAAGACAGGGATGCCCTCTCTCACCACTCCTATTCAACATAGTGTTGGAAGTTCTGGCTAGGGCAATTAGGCAAGAGAAAGAAATCAAGGGTATTCAGTTAGGAAAAGAAGAAGTCAAACTGTCCCTGTTTGCAGATGACATGATTGTATATTTAGAAAACCCCATTGTCTAGCCCAAAATCTCCTTAAGCTGATAAGCAACTTCAGCAAAGTCTCAGGATACAAAATTAATGTGCAAAAATCACAAGCATTCTTATACACCAGTAACAGACAAACAGAGAGCCAAATCAGGAATGAACTTCCATTCACAATTGCTTCAAAGAGAATCAAATACCTAGGAATCCAACTTACAAGGGATGTAAAGGACCTCTTCAAGGAGAACTACAAACCACTGCTCAGTGAAATAAAAGAGGACACAAACAAATGGAAGAACATACCATGCTCATGGATAGGAAGAATCAATATCGTGAAAATGGCCATACTGCCCAAGGTAATTTATAGATTCAATGCCATCCCCATCAAGCTACCAATGAGTTTCTTCACAGAATTGGAAAAAACTGCTTTAAAGTTCATATGGAACCAAAAAAGAGCCCGCATCTCCAAGACAATCCTAAGTCAAAAGAACAAAGCTGGAGGCATCACGCTACCTGACTTCAAACTATACTACAAGGCTACAGTAACCAAAACAGCATGGTACTGGTACCAAAACAGAGATATAGACCAATGGAACAGAACAGAGTCCTTAGAAATAATACCACACATCTACAGCCATCTGATCTTTGACAAACCTGAGAGAAACAAGAAATGGGGAAAGGATTCCCTATTTAATAAATGGTGCTGGGAAAATTGGCTAGCCATAAGTAGAAAGCTGAAACTGGATCCTTTCCTTACTCCTTATACGAAAATTAATTCAAGATGGATTAGAGACTTAAATGTTAGACCTAATACCATAAAAATCCTAGAGGAAAACCTAGGTAGTACCATTCAGGACATAGGCATGGGCAAAGACTTCATGTCTAAAACACCAAAGGCAACAGCAGCAAAAGCCAAAATTGACAAATGGGATCTCATTAAATTAAAGAGCTTCTGCACAGCAAAAGAAACTACCATCAGAATGAACAGGCAACCTACAGAATGGGAGAAAATTTTTGCAATCTACTCATCTGACAAAGGGCTAATATCCAGGACCTACAAAGAACTCAAACAAATTTACAAGAAAAAAACAAACAACCCCATCAAAAAGTGGGCAAAGGATATGAACAGACATTTCTCAAAAGAAGACATTCATACAGCCAACAGACACATGAAAAAATGCTCATCATCACTGGCCATCAGAGAAATGCAAATCAAAACCACAATGAGATACCATCTCACACCAGTTAGAATGGCGATCATTAAAAAGTCAGGAAACAACAGGTGCTGGAGAGGATGTGGAGAAATAGGAACACTTTTACACTGTTGGTGGGATTGTAAACTAGTTCAACCATTATGGAAAACAGTATGGCGATTCCTCAAGGATCTAGAACTAGATGTACCATATGACCCAGCCATCCCATTACTGGGTATATACCCAAAGGATTATAAATTATGCTGCTATAAAGACACATGCACACGTATGTTTATTGCAGCACTATTCACAATAGCAAGACTTGGAATCAACCCAAATGTCCATCAGTGACAGATTGGATTAAGAAAATGTGGCACATATACACCATGGAATACTATGCAGCCATCAAAAAGGATGAGTTTGCGTCCTTTGTAGGGACCTGGATGCAGCTGGAAACCATCATTCTTAGCAAACTATCACAAGAACAGAAAACCAAACACCGCATGTTCTCACTCATAGGTGGGAACTGAACAATAAGATCACTTGGACTCAGGAAGGGGAACATCACACACAGGGGCCTATCATGGGGAGGGGGGAGAGGGGAGGGATTGCATTGGGAGTTATACCTGATGTAAATGATGAGTTGATGGGTGCAGCACACCAACATGGCACAAGTATACATATGTAACAAACCTGCACGTTATGCACATGTACCCTACAACTTAAAGTATAATAATAATAAATAAAAAAAAATAAAAAAAAAAAAGAAATGCAGAAAGGTGCCTAGAATAGGGAGAGAAGTGGAGCAGGATGAGGGCCTCTTTTCCTTCCTCTGCCATATCCAGACACATGTCTCTAAGGTGTCTGGAATCCTAAATGAGAGCTTCTAGGTCATTACAAAGGTACTTGTATCAAGATAGTGAGATGGAACACATTTCATATATATATTCATCACTTGTTAGCCTGAGTTACTGTAACTTTTAAATATTTAGATGTATATTTGTACATTTGTACCTCTGCCTCAGACTTAACAAATGCTAGAGGCAGGTATTTCCTGTCTATTGAAGGTCAGCAAATTCAGAGAATTAGAAGTTAATTATTAAATTTGAAATCTGAAAAGTGTGTTATAAAATCAGGGTAGGGTAGGGTTATCGCTAGGAAGGAAGGGGTCATAGTTGGGGAGGGGCCTGGCATGTTTCATTTCTCTACTTGAATGGTGGACACATAGATGTAAATTCTAATGATTCTTTAAACTAAATAGTCTTTGTGGCTTCTTCTTTATGGAAAATGGATCTTCCAATGGAGTGTTAAAAAGTATTGTTCCTAATTATGGGGAAAAAACTATCTCAGAAAAATGTTTCTTCAAACTTGTATGTTCTAAGAATCTTGGTCCAGCCATCAGAATAAACAGAAACAATAATTTAAAGTTCTAGAAAACAGATAAATTTTATAGCAAGTGTGTGTTTTATAGCAAGCATGAACAAACGTATATTTAAATATGCGTGTGTGTGCTTGATTTTAACTTTCAAGACATCAGCTGTGGAAGCAATTGAAAGAAAACCTTTCTTCTCATTCCCAGCTGCAAGACCTTCAGTGAATTCCATGGGTTAAGATTAAAAAAATATTTTCAAGTATTTTTATTTCACTCTTAAGTCCGTGGTTTGTTTATCTGAAAGAATGAACAATGATAATGAAAAACAAAGGGGAATATTTACCTTTTTCAGGTTAGGGATTCATTGTGTGTAAACTTTGTTCTATAATTTCATGAAAAAACTTTTCTGGATGCACTTTCCACATATAAATATTTATTGTAACAGAGATTATTTCTCTGTTTTTATTTTCAGGTATTATCTTCACCGAATAAAGAAAGTAATGAAGAAGGTATGGTATATTTTGATTCATTAAGAGTGAGGTGTATAAATTTATTTGTTTACAGTAGCGGAAGTCAAAACATAAAAATAAAAATAGATAAATTGAAAAGCTGTATAAGCTAAGTGAAGTATTTTTTAAATAGTCGCTGAAATTTCAGATGAAATATTTTCTAATTCAGAAAATAAAGAGAATGCATTTAACTACTTTTCTAGTCTAGAAAATGATTTGATTGTACAGTGACTTTTTTTGGTGAAGTACTGAGATATTCCAGCCAGTTCTGACACATTTAATTTTTAAAAACTTAATTAAAAAAAAAAAAACTCTTACATTCAGATATTTATCTTATTTTAATGAATCACTTATTTTAGCTGAAGATCTTAAAACCTATACTATTGTAGAATTAAAAATAAATACAATATTTTTATTACCATTATTTGAAGCTATTTTAATAAACAAGTAAAAATGCTCTGTAGTGAAATTTTCAAAATTTAAGCATGTGCACACATCATTTGTCTTTCAAAATATTGCAAGGCTTTTGGTTTTTTGTTTTAATATAAAATATTAGAAGAATATTCAAGTTGCAGATTTGGAAGAAATATGAGAACTATTTACTGTGAGTCAAGTATGACATGTTTAGAAAGGAGTAAATCCATAGACATGATTTCATGGGAAAGCAAACTGTATTCCTTATATGGTAAGCTAACAAATTGTTTCTTTGCAATACTATCTCATTTGGGGTATTTTTTGTGTAGTCAAATTTTACTATACGAGCTTTATCTAAACCTTTCATGTTGTAGCACTTCTGTGTTGTCTGCTAGAGACTAAAATGACCCAGAAAGATACAAGAAATAAAGTAGGAAGGTTCTAGAATGTTTAATATAGCTTTATATAAGGCTTGGGCCAAATTAGAGAACTTGGGACAAAAGTTTAAAGGGAAATAGCTTTAAATAGAGAAATGCAACTTTAGATAGAGAGCTTATGACTGTTTGTATCTGCCTAAATATTTCCTAAAAGTCTAAATTAAATTTTATTAATCACTCCCTTCTCCCTCCTTCTTTCTTTTTATCCCTTCCCCAATACCCTCTTTCCCCATTTTAAATGCAGAGCAAGTATGGCACTTCCTTGGCAAGTGATTGAAACATCTGAAATTCTGCTGTCAAGATTCCCATCTCTAAGGACTCCAAGACTCTTTTTCCCCAAGTGCTAAGGGGATCTGTGAGCATTTACTGACTTCCTGTTAAAACTTCAGTTTTTCAAACTTTTTGAGCTATGCAATATATAAATAAACAGAATTTTAAATTAGTCTCCTTTGGACATTTATTGATATAAAAACAAGATTTTGGCCAGGCGCGGTGGCTCATGCCTGTAATTTCAGCACTTTGGGAGACCGGGGTGGGCAGATCACGAGGTCAGGAGTTCGAGACCAACCTGGCCAATATGTTGAAACCCCATCTCTATTAAAGATACAAAAAATAGCTGGGCCTGGTGGTGCATGCCTGTACTCCCAGCTATGCAGGAGGCTGAAGCAGAAGAATTGCTTGAGCCCAGGAGGCAGAGGTTGCAGTGAGCAGTGATCATGCCACTGCACTCCAGCCTGGGCAACAGAGAGACTCTGTCTCAAAAAAAAAAAAAAAAAAAAAAAAAAGATTTTATTTCATTTCATAGCACAAATTTAGAGGCATTGAGTTGACCAATTCTAGTTTCTATACCTAAAGGAACCCATTGATTTTACTAGTTTTTATTTCTATAGATTGGATGTAAAAATCACAAATTCAATAAATTAATAAAATTTGTGTAGACAACTGTTACTTTCATTTTCATACTGTATTATTCCTTTCAAGTCCATTGCTGGTAGAGGCTTTAAATATTTGGTCAACCTCTACTCTTATTAATGCCTGTGTAAATGTGTTACATTTATTCAGGCTCCTTCCTGTAACTTATTGTTTTGGAAATCCTAATCTCTTTTTGATTCTCATTCATTCCGCTTATGGTGATGACTCTGGGGATGACTCTCATCATCTCTATGGGATGTCACTCTGTAGTGACAACTCCCTCTATGACGGTGACCTCTGTAACAATGACTCCCAACTCTCCATAAGAAGCCCAGGTCTCTTTCTGGTGTCTACCTATTGGTCATCAGTTTAAATGCCTTTGGCTTCTCTTGTCCATACCTGAATTCATCTTCACTTGCACTTATGCTCCTTTCTCCTTGTTCTTGAACAATGGAATTGACTTTCTCTAAATCTTCCACTTGAAGCCTTGAAATCATATGGAACTTCTCTTTACTCATGAAGATGATCTAAATGTTTATTTGTTGTCCTCATTTGTTGACACCCCTACTCTGTTGATTTTTCCCTTACTTCACTGGATTCTTGTTAACAGGCTCCTATCTCTTCTCCATGACTCAGATCCAGCCCCTCTGTCTCATCCCCATTGCTATAGATCAGTATCATGCACTCTTACCTCCTAACCAAGTGGTTGTCTTGCCTCCAGTTTTTCTCCCTTCATACCATCTTCCACATTTCTAAACAGTGATTTTCCTATAACATAGATCCTATTTTGTTATATTTTTCTCAAAATGCCCTCTATGCATAGTTTTCTATATTCTTGACAATAAAAATCAGATTCTCTCCTTTTGTCAGCAAACCCATCCTGCAGCTATGCAATGCTACTCACTCCTCAAACATATCTAATACCCACACTCTGAATACTGCATTTCTTTCTTACCAGTTTTGTTCACTACTTTTTCTCCCTTTTTCTATATATCATCATTAACAAATTGCATTTAAAGTGCTTTGTGGTTTACAAAAGACTGTTATGATAACAGTTATTGTTTATTGAGCACCTATTGTATAACAAGCACTGTTTTAGATACTATGTGTACATATACCCTATATGCCTGTACTTGAGAAGTTCTATAACTTGTCCAAAGTCACACAGCTAGTTCAGTTTCAGAGCCAGGATTAGATAGAACCCATTACTCTGTGGCTGTAAATCCTATGGTTTTTCCATCCTTCTATGCATGCAGTTTCTCACATACAACTGCCTTGCAATGTAGGCAAAGCGCAGAGCACTCCTCTATTTTATAGATAAGAAAACAGGCACAGAGAGTTTAAATGATTATTCCAGAAGTAAATATTCTCTTTGAAGTATCTTTGGTAATGTATGAACCTCTTGGAGGGACAAGAAAGAGTGTAAGAGAAGAACGAATTCTTTTTACTTTTTTTGATATATTGTTTAAATTGTGAAAATAAAACTTACAGAAAGATAGAGAATAGAGTACTATTATTGCAATAGTTGTAAAAAGTTAGCTGGAATTATCAAGAGATAGATAGTGGATTTATGGCATGTGACGTTAGTCTCTCGAAGAAGTAAGCTGTGCCTGGTGGTCCTCTTGTGGCATAAGGCACACCTAGTATTTTTCCCCTTCTCCTTCTAGCAGTCAGTGGTACTCAGATGCTACCTAGTTAGTGAGCCTTGCTAGCGAGGTAAATCCATTTGATATGGTTTAGGTGTTTTGTCTGCTCCAAATCTCATGGTGAAATGTAATCTCTATGATAATGAGTAAGTTCGCACTGTGTTAGTCCATTTTCATGCTGCTATAAAGAACTGCCTAAGACTGGGTAATTTATAAAGGAAAGAGGTTTAATTGACTCAGTTGCACATGGCTGGGGAGACCTCAGGAAACTTACAATTACAGAGGAAAGGGAAACAAACGTGTCCTTTACATGGTGGCAGGAGAGACAAGTGCAGAGCAAAGCAGGGAAAATCCCCTTATAAAAATCATAAACTCTCATGAGAACTCACTCAATATCACAAGAACAGCACAGGGGAACTGCCACCATGATCTGATCACCTCCCATGAGGTCCCTTCTCCAACACTTTTGGATTACAATTCAAGATGAGATTTAGGAGGGGACTCAGAGCCAGACCATATCACTCTGCCCCTTGATCCTCCCAAATCTCATCTTTCTCACATTTCAAAACACAATTATGCCTTCCCAACAGTCCCCCAAAATCTTAACTCTTTCCAGTATTAACCCAAAAGTCCAAGTCCAAAGTCTCATCTGAAACAAGGCAAGTCCCTTCTGCCTATGAGCCTGTAAAATCAAAAGCAAGTTAGTTACTTCCTAGATACAATGGGGGTACAGGCATTGGGTAAATACAGCCATTTTAAGTGGGAGAAATTGTCCAAAATAAAGGCACTACATGTTCTATACATGTCCGAAATCCAATAGGGCAGTCATTGAGCCTTAAATTTCCAAAATGATCTCCTTAGACCCCATGTCTCACATCCAGGCAATGCTGATGGAAGAAGTGGGCTCCCATGGCCTTGGGCAGTTCCACCCCTGTGGCTTTGCAGGGTACAACCACCTTCATGGTTGCTTTCATGGGCTGGCGTTGAGTGTCTGTGGCTTTTCCATGTACACAGTTGCAAGCTGTCAGTGGATCTACCATTCTGGGGTCTGGAGGATGGTGGCCCTCTTCTCACAGCTCCACTAGGCAGTGCCCTAGTGAGGCCTCTGTGTGGGGGCTCCAACCCCACATTTCCCTTCTGTACTACCCTAACAGAGGTTCTCCATGAGGGCTCTGCCCCTGCAGCAAACTTCTGCCTGGACAGCCAGGGATTTCCATACATCCTCTGAAATCTAGGCTGAGGTTCCAAAATCTCACTTCTTGAGAAGTACACCCCCAGGCTCAACACCAGGTGGAAGCCATTAGGGCTCGGGGCTTGCACCCTCTGAAGCCATGGCCTAAGCTGGACCTTGGCCCCTTTTACCCATGGCTAGAGCAGCTGGGATGCAGGGCACCATGTCCCAAGGCTGCACAGTGCAAGGGGGCCTGGGCTCAACCTACAAAACCATTTTTTCTTCCTAGGCCTCCAGGCCTGTGATGGGAGAGGCTGCTGTGAAGTTCTCTGACTTGCCCTGGAGCGATTTTCCCCATTGTCTTGGTGATTAATATTCGTCTTCTTGTACTTAAGCAAATTTCTGCAGCAGGATTGAATTTCTCCCCAGAAAATGTTTTTCTTTGTGCATCATTAGGCTACAAATTTTCCAAACTTTTATGTTGTGCTTCCTCTTGAATGCTTTGCCACTTAGAAATTGCTTCTGCCAGATACCCTAAATAATCTCTCTCAAGTTCAGAGTTCTACAGTTCTCTAGGGCAGGGGCACAATGCCACCAGTCTCTTTGCTAAGGCATAGCAAGAGTCACCTTTGCTCCAGTTCCCAAGAAGTTACTTATCTCCATCTGAAACCAACTCAGCCTGGATTTCATTGTCCATGTCACTATCAACATTTTGGTCAAAACCATTCAACAAGTCTCTAGGAAGTTCCAAACATTCCCACACCTTCCTGTCTTCTTCTGAGCCCTCCAAACTTTGAACCTCTGCTTGTTACCCAGTTCCAAAGTTGCTTCTACATTTTTGGTTATCTTTATAGCAGCACTCCACTCAATGTACTGTATTAGTCCATTCTCATGCTGCTCTAAAGAACTGCCTGAGCCTGGGTAACTTATAAATGAAAGATATTTAGTTGACTCACAGTTCCACATGACTAGGGAGGCCTCAGGAAACTTACAATTATGGCAGAAGGGGAAGCAAACACATCCTTCTTTACATGGGAGCAGGAGAGAAAAGTGCAGAGCACAAGGGAGAAAAGCTCCTTATAGAATCATCAGGTCTCATAAGAACTCACTCATTACCAGGAGAACAGCACGGGAAAACCACCTCCATGATCAGATTACCTCCCACAAGCCCCCTCCCTCAACACACGGGTATTACAACTTGGATTACAAATCATTATGAGATTTGGGTGGGGACACAGAGCCAGGCCATATCACTTACGTTGGTAGCTCACATGAGAGAGCCTGGCAACTCCCATTCATGCTCTCTTGCCATGTGACACATCTGCTCCCCTTTTGCCTTCTGCCATGATGTAAGCTTCCTGAGGCCCTCACCAGAAGCCAAGCAGATGTCAGTACTGTGCTTATACAACCTGCAGAACTGTGAGCCAAAATAAACCTTTTTTCTTTATAAATTACTCAGCCTCAGGTATTTCTTTATAGCAACACATAAACAAACTAATATACCATCTGTCTATGTTACCCAGTTAATGATTGTCTTCATAGTGTGTGATGTTATGTAATTATAATCTTGGTATATAATTTTGAAATTTTTAAAATTGTAAACATCTTTCTACATTGCTACATAGTCATCACTATTATGATGACAATGTGGCTCTTTCATGATTGTTTCAAAATGTCTTCCATACTAGCTAATTTAATTTTTGCCAGTCCAATC